TATAACCTTATTTGTGATAGAAATTGAGGATTTTATAAGATAACCATAGCTCCCTTTGTAGAGTTAGTGTGTGGGTTTTCTCTCTTTTAGGAGTTGAGGAGCAAGCATTGAGATGCTTTAGAAGGATCAATCATCGGTCTTTCAATGACTTTATTTGGTTTGTTGGCTGAATTTTCATTCAAGTTTTAGTTATAGTACAAGCCTCCAATATGGAAACTTTTTGAATCTATGCCAGTTTTTCCATAATTCACCAAGGTACCACTACTCACAGGTAAGTTCAGTTTTTTGCCATTACTCAACTTTTCTACAGAAGGACTTACAAGACAAGCAGCAGGCTGCAAGCTCTTGCGTTCAAGCAAGTCACTTGAACTATTTTCATCAACTGCTGAAGTGAAGCGACCCTCCGAAGATATAGTTGTTTTTTCTTTATTTGCTAATGCATACTTTCTTGATATGTCCTTATTTGATTCTTTCAGATCAGCTTCTCTTTGGTCTATTGAAGAAGGAGAGTAAACTACTTATTTTGATGGCTGAATTAGGTGGTGCCTAGTAGCAGAAAGTTGTGATTCAATATGGTCATCTTATTATGAAGGTGAGCATTATACTTGATTAGATTATAAATATTTACAAGTTTGCTGGGGGTAATTGAAAGCAACCTAAGTTTCTAATGTATGATAATTTTCTTCTTTCAGATGTGTTATTTCTTTATCAAATAAGCCTATATCTAATGGAAATTTTTTTTTCTCTGAATTTGATCCTTTATTGTATCTTGATACTTTCTGACATTGCTTTTTTCTGTGAGCATTGAAATATGAAATGTTCATAATTGCCTTCTGTTGTATGGCTTGAGTTAATTTTTGCCAACATTTACTGGTTATTTATCAGACATTTATTTTTTTACTGCAGTTTGAAAACACTATACTTGCAGAAAAGGTCAAGCTCGAGAAAGAACAAAGCGGTCAACAGAGGAATCAAGTCGCTAGTCTATTACAGCTAGATCATGATAAAAAAATGCAGATACACCAACAGAGTTTGACTATACATATCTACAGGTTTTACTTCTATCCTTAGAGCACTGAATGTATTAAATTCTCGTTATTTGGATCGTATTTCTTTTTGATGAGTTAATATTTGTAGTAATACTGTGACTAATCTTGATTTGATTTTTTGTACTGTCTGGGTTCAGTTTTGAAGTAGTGTGCTTCTGACAGTACAAATGAGCATATTCATGGGCTGTTTGTCTACAATTAAGATGTAATTCAAGTATGAAGCAGAATGTTGTGAATCCCTTCTTTGTAAAATTTGATATTTTAAAAGGTTTGTAATAAATTGTTTGTTGAACATTACAGTATGTTACCACATCGCGTGAGCTATTGGAGCAAATAGGAGCAGAGGCTGCAGCGGGTGGAATATCTAGGTAAGGTGTAAATGTGTAATATTCTTATAAGTTGATTATTACTTTTAATTGCATATCTTATTTATCATTATTATAGGATTTTAACAATCAATAGGCCCTAATGTTAAATCATATTAATGATTTAACCTTTCTTTATGATTATATGCTATATATAAAATATATTAACTCATTTTACGCCCAATTGGCTACATAACATTTAAATGATTTTTATATATGGAATGTAATATAAAAATAACTAAATCCTTATAGCAATAGTGCAATACGTCTTAATATATAAATGTTGTAATATTATTTCCTATTATTCTTTCCAATGTCATTGCGTAGTAATAATTATACATTAAATGTTTTATTTAAAATTGCGACTTCTTTTGAATTTGATCTTTTTTTAAGGAACCATTTGAATATTTCTTAAATAACCTATTAATTATTTTTCTTAAAGAAATTAATGCCTTTAAATCATAGAATTATTTTTGAATAGGAGGGCAATGAAAAATTGTTTGAACATTTTCTCATTACTCCTCTCTCGCTCTCTCTCAAATTCTCATTAAGATTACAATTTTCAATGCTAATCAAAACATCTTTAATTCTGAGATATATAAGCAAGAACATTCACAAGCAATGTGTTGCATGAGGATCGGCATTACATTGTTACATCGTTTTATTTTCATTTTAAATTTTGATTTGATATATTGTTGGATCTCATGTGTTGCAGCAATTGAATTTTGTCTTTAATTTAAATTTGTATTACAAAATTATAGTAATTTAGCTTTGTGTATTTAGGTTGAGTGTTTCTCCACGCATACTTGGTGTGAAGGAAATTTGTTTGTGGAGTAGAATCCTAGTTTGTATGTTTGGCTAGGTGTGGATGAAGCCGAATAAACTAAAAATTGACTTGTGTGCTTTACATTCTCTGCATTTTTAATTTTGTGAAACCATCACGTAAAACCACCACATTGATGACGTATGTGTACCGCCGCATACTTGATTCACACAGCCATCTCCTGCTGCAATAACCCTTCAACATCTCTAATAAGAGCAAAGAGAGAAGTTGAGGATTACTAATGGAGTTATATTTATGAAACCATCACGTAAAACCACCACATCCCGTCTTTCATGTTTCTAGAAAAAGAGTTCCTGGTGCTGGTTGGTTCCTTGATACAATTTCCAACATAACCAAAAAGGATCCTGCTGCACAATTCCTTGTTTCTTTCAGGAGCAAGGTCTGCCACTGTAGTTTTTTGTTTGTCTTTTTTTTTTTTTTTTTTTAATTTGCCTCTGTCCTATTCATGCCCTAGGAAATTCATCTTAACAACCATTGCGTTTCTTTTTGTATCTTCTCTCTTCAGGATACAGTAGGATTGTGATCTTTAGCTGCTGGGGGGAAACTATTACAGGTTAGTAAATTTATGTTGAATTAATAATTATGGTGGT